TCTTCAAGACTGTCTTGCTTGGGGCACCTCTGGGCTCAGTTGGTTAAGCATCTAACTCTTGGTTGTGGCTCAGGTCATGATCTCACGGTTCCTGAGATCAAGCCTGGTGTCGGACTCTGCGCTGAGAGGGCAAAGCCTGCTCGGGATTCTCTCTCTCCCTTCTCTCTCTCTCTGCCCCTCCCCACTCTCTCTGTCTCTCTCAAAATAAATAAATAAACTTTAAAAAATGTTTATTTATTTTTGAGAGAGGAGGGAGCAGAGAGAGGGGGGGACAGAAGATCCGAAGTGGGCTCTGTACTGACAGCAGGCAGCCCAATGCGGGGCTCAAACTCATGAACCGTGAGATCATGACCCGAACTGAAGTCGGACGCTCAACTAACTGAGCCACCCAGGCACACTGTTAAAAAAATTTTTTTAAAGAGAACAAAGACTCTTGCTCAACTGGCTCTTTACTTTTCTTTATACATTTAAGAAGCAGTTTATTAAATTACATTTAAAAAAAAAAACCTGCTGGGATTTTAAATGGGTGTACATTGAATCTATACATCATTTCAGGGAAATCTGACATCCCTATGATAGAAAGTCTTTCAACTCACAAATACTGTCTACATCTCCATTACTTTAGGTCTTTCAGAATTTCTCTAGTACTTTGTATTTTTCTGTCCAGAGGCCTTCTACATTGTTCTTTAGATTTATTCTTTTTTTTTTTTCAACGTTTTTTATTTTTATTTTTTTTTGGGGACAGAGAGAGACAGAGCATGAACGGGGGAGGGGCAGAGAGAGAGGGAGACACAGCATCGGAAACAGGCTCCAGGCTCCGAGCCATCAGCCCAGAGCCCGACGCGGGGCTCGAACTCACGGACCGCGAGATCGTGACCTGGCTGAAGTCGGACGCTTAACCGACTGCGCCACCCAGGCGCCCCTAGATTTATTCTTAAGATAAATTCGGTATCTATATTTGTTGATACAATGGTGATTAGTATCATTACAATTTTTTTCATTTTCTATGTTTTTGTTGCTGTCATATAAGAATATAACTGATTTTTGTTTACTTACCTTATATTTAGCAATCTTGCCAAATATTTATTAATTCCAACAACTTATCTATAGATTCTTTTGTACTTTCTGTGAACACAATCACGTCATCTGCAAAAAATGTTAGTTTTCTTTTTCAATTCTTGTCCGTTTTTTTCTCTTATATTTATAATTCCTTATCTTCCTTTCACAACTGAGTTTCTTTGGGAAGTAAAAATCTTTAAAGATCTCTCTCTCCTTCATCCTGTGAGCAGTCTTAATATTTGGCCCGATGAAAATAAGAGTTGTCTCTGATGTCACCCACAGTGGCCCCAGCCCCTCTAATTGTGGTCCTCTGCTGACTCAAAGCAAAGCATCTGATGCCTCCTACAGGGGCGACCATGGTCCACATCACTATGCAGACAGGCTCGTCATGCTCCAGGGACACTGAGTCATAGAGAGAGCTGTTCTGAAGACCAGCCATGGTCTACGGGGGATGCCTGTTCCTGTTCCCTAAGGGGCTCAGAAGACCCCAGGGAGAAGTCCAGGAGACAGCCTGCTGTGATGGTCACACCACACCCTCATGGGCATCTGGCAGGGCAGCTTGGGGTGTTTGGTACGCCCAGCTACCTCTACTGCCTGCTGTTCCTGTTCACGTAGTGACCCTGACAATTAACCTGGCTGACCTAGCTCTGCAGAGTGAATCCATCCGTGGTCATTATGGGCAGCTGAGCAGCTAAAGGCATTTGGAGAAATAACTGTGGTTAAGGAACATAAGTGACTCACGGTAAAGCTGTTCATCCTATGACACCCACTGTGTAAATGTCACCTGCAATGAGGTGAGTTGAAGGAAACAGGCTGTGCATATCGGTGGGGCGGGAGGAGCAACTCACAGGATTTCCGACAGCTCTCCGCAATGGCATCATGGGTTCTAGTACCATAATCACAACCCCCATGTTCCAACATGACCTGGCATGAACCAAAAGGTTTTCTAGGATTTTCATTCTCTCCAACCAGCTGGGTTTCTTCTTGGCCTGTGTGCCTGAGTACATAAAATAAAGGGCAGCACTGTGTTTGTCCTCTGGCTACAGCTCTAAGCCGAGTGACAGGCATGAGCAGGCTTTAAGATCACATGCCTCTGCACTGTCATTTTATAAGAGACTGAATGTTCTGCTCTGTGGGGCCTCTCAGTGCTTTACTGGTATTATTTGTTAATAAAAATGAATTATTTGCTATATGGCATTATTCGCAATAGCCAAAAAGTGGGAACTACACAAATATCCATTTAAATAGATAATATGTGTATAACCATACAATGGATAATTATCCAGCCATAATAATGAACGAAGTACTGATACATGCTACAACATGGATGAAACTTGAAAACATGCTAAGTGAAAGAAATGAGACATTAAGGGCCACAAGCTGTATGATCGCATGTATATGAAATGGCCAAAACAGGCAAATCCAAAGGGACAGAAAACAGTTACAGCTGCCAGGGAATTAAGGGACGGGGAAACTCTGAGTGACTGAACAGTTATGGGGATTCCTTTTGGGAAGATGAAAATGCTATGGAATTATTTGGTGGTAACAGGTACACAACCCTGTGAATAGATATATATTTTTTTAAGTTTTTATTTTTTATTTTTATTTTTTTAGTAATCTCTATACCCAACGTGGGACTCAAACTCGCGACCCCAAGATCAAGCGTCGCAAGCTGTTCTGACTGAGCCATCCAGGCACCACAACGCTGCGAATATATTAAAACTACTGAATTATATACACTTTAAAATGGTGATTTTTATGTTATGTGAATTATAACTCAATAAAAAAGTGAATTATTTGCTATGAGGTCAAATGTCAAAATTATTCTGACCGTCTTGACCCTGAAAAGCCTTCTCCTTGAAGGAGTTTGGAGGTTGAGGGACTATGCGGCATAGAGTGGGATTTCTGCACGTGGTGGGTAGAATTAGCCTTTATATAATCACACCTCTGTATGTAGCCATATCCATGGTTACAGGCCACATCACTGAACTGCATTCTCTGCCTTGATTTAAGAAAGATGGCATTTGTGTGTGGAGGTCCATGGTGCCTCTGCAGGGCCACAAGGGGTACACGACCCTGGCCTCTCCTTGTCAGGGGTCACACGGGAGCCTTAGCCCCAAAGGAACCCTGCTGTCAATGCTGCAGGGCAATGGCACTTAAGTGGCCAGAATCTCAGCTCCGTCATTGCAGAGGTACGTCCCGGGTGACCCTCTGAAAGGGTCACCACCACTGCACCCTCCTCCAAGAAGGAGATGGAGAGCACGGGATGAAAAGCTCCCTTCTGTTCAATTAGCTTCTTTTCAAGGATCAGAGCCTGGCTGGCAGGCGGAAAATTCCACACGCTAATGAAACAAAAGGGAGCCGGAAAGGAGAGAAGATAAAGGGCACAAGCTCAACCTCCCTGCATTCTTTTCTCCGTGCCTGGAAGGCAATTCTAACCGCCAGGGTCCTGGTTAAATCTCCTTGTGCTTCACTTTTCCCGGCGGCACAGAGAGGAACCAGGTCTATTTCAGTACTGCCTTCGCCAGGGGACACACACCACTGGGCACGAGGGGTGATTTTATTTGGTAAATGGACCATGGCACGAAAAACCACTGAAGCACATCATGAGAAAGCAAATCTCCCTTCACTGTTAATCTTCCGATTCCATCAGTGAGGAAGGCTATGTTCGGGCTGCCGTATCTTTCACACCTCTCTAGACTTTGTAACAAAGAGAAAGGAGTGGCCGTATTTGTGGCAGGGTAGAATTAAAACACTGTTTAAGGACATTGTGCTTATTTAATTTTTTAATATTATTTTACTATTTATGGCAAGTACAGCAAACAGAAATTTCTGCTTTACAGTGGCGATATTGAGATCACTCTTAAATTGATTTAAGGTAAAAAGAGGGACTTAACTCTAAAGAAAATACAAAAGGAAAGTAGAGATATTATACAGATAGGACAAGGATCATAAAGATGGTACAAGGATGATAAAAATTTTGGGAACTTCTTTTTCTTTCTGTCACTTTACTAATGAACATGTTTAGAACATATCTAAGGGGCGCCTGGGTGGCGCAGTCGGTTAAGCGTCCGACTTCAGCCAGGTCACGATCTCGCGGTGCGTGAGTTCGAGCCCCGCGTCAGGCTCTGGGCTGATGGCTCAGAGCCTGGAGCCTGTTTCCGATTCTGTGTCTCCCTCTCTCTCTGCCCTTCCCCCGTTCATGCTCTGTCTCTCTCTGTCCCAAAAAATAAATAAACGTTGAAAAAAAAAATTAAAAAAAAAAAAAAAAAAAGAACATATCTAAAACCATTCTGTCCCACCCAGGCCATCTCCTTGGCCCTGGTCTTTCTAATTCATTTTTCAGTGCACATCTCTACACCGGTCAGGATATCACTGGGTTAGCATCCAATGGCCAAGATGGGGCACTGGGTGGCTCAGTCAATTAAGCATCCGACTTTGGCTCAGGTCATGATCTCGCAGCTCATGGTTTGAGCCCCTTGTCAGGCGCTGTGCTGACAGCTCAGAGCCTGGAGCCTGCTTCAGATTCTGTGTCTCCCTCTCTCTCTGACCCTCCCCCATCACACTTTATGTCTCTTTCTCTCAAAAATAAATAAACAAAAAAAATTTAAGAATCCAATGACCAAGAAAATATCAAAGGAGCTCCCATAAACATGCACAATTCTTGCCTGCAGACAGAATCAGTGACTTTGGGAGTGAGGGCAGCCTCCTAGGCAAAGATACTATCAGAAACCAGAAAGAATTTACCTGGTGAGGAGTTACCATTCTTCAAGAATACTCCCCAAACTCAAAACAGGACATCTTTGAACTTTTCTGTATATTTGAAATAGTTCATGGTAAAATGTTGAACCACCACCACCAAAAGGGCAAAAGTCACCACCAGAGAAGATGACACTATTATTATGATACTCTTGAATACTTCAATTATAAAATTAACTTACCAGTAATAGATCTTTATCAGCGCTGACGGCCAAAGGAGAAATGAGGCTACAAATGCCAGGATGGGGAGGGCCAGCGTCCCACCTGCGATCACAAACATGTTGACCACATCAAGATCCATCCTGCTCTTTAAGGCTGGCAGACACCTGCAGGGCGAAAGAGAGTGATAGCATTGAAACTCTGTCTCAAGAGAAAAGGGGAAAAGGCAAAGTGGAAGAGAGAAGGACCCAGAATGAGGGTTAAAGTCAGGAGGAAACAAAAGCTGACCAAGTGCTCAAAAAATCTAAATAGGCATAACAACTAAATATAATAAAGAATCCTTGAGAGGATCCTGAATTTTTTTTAAGCTATAAAGGATGTTGTTAAAACAAATGGGGGAAATCTGAGAACAGATATGAGATAGCATTACTGTATCAGTGACACAATTCTTGAGTGTGACGAAATTGTGGTTACGTTTATACGTAGAAAATCTTTGCTCTTAGGAGACGTCTGCTGAAGTATTAAGGGGTGAAGAATAGTGATATCTGCTACTCAATGTTCATTTCTGCTACTCTTAAAAATTGAGAAAAGTCACTGGGGAAGGGGAAAAGAGAGAACATTAAAGCAAATGTGGCAAATGTTAACCTCTGGTGAATCCAGGTGAAGGTTACATGGTAATATTCTTTCAGCTTTTCTATAAGTTTGCAATTTTTAAAAATTAAAAGTTAAGGGGTGCCTGGGTAGCTTAGTCAATTAAGCCCTGCATCAGGCTCTGCACATCGGGCAGTGCACAGCCTGCTTGGGATTTTCTCTCTCTCCCTCTCTTTACCCCGCCCCCCAATAAATAAATAAACTTTAAAAATAAATAAATAAAAATTAAAACTTAGGACAGAGAACCTAAAAGACAGACAGAAATGGAAACCATCTATGTGTGCGCGTGAATGCTACTATCATGGAAAGGATGTGTTAACAAATCAGTAACAGTTCATCTAAGGTGGGGAACTAGTAGCTGGGGTGTTAAGGATAGAAGGAAAACTTGTTTTTTTACCATGTACCTTTTTAAACCTTTTGGTTATTATCACATATATGTATAATAGCCTATTCAAAAATAAGTCCCATACAACAAAAAGTTAAGAGGGAACAAATCAAAACGGTAGAATTTGCATTGTACTTTCTGAGGTCTTCTTGAAGACTAGATGAACACATCTGAAGGCTAGAATGGGAGCACCAGGAGGGCAGGGACTATCGTGTGTCCCCAGCTCCGAGAGCAGGTCTGACACAGCATGCAATAAATGGGAGTGACTATTCCAACAAGACTTTGTTAGAAAGAGGCTGCAGGCTCTTTGGCCTGCTGGCAGAAAGTGAGCAACCCTTGGTATAGCACACCAGTCCTGTCAAACAGGCAGGGTGTTTTATTTCATTTTATAGGCTGGGAAAAGTAAGGCACAGAGAGGCTAAGTAACTTGCCCAAAGTCACTCAGCCAGTTGAATCAAGATTACAAAACAGGTTTCTCCTTGGACCCACCCCCTCTGCACCATGCTATACATCGTCTAATTTTTTTTTAATGGCCTTTTTTTCAATCTTCATAAGCTCTCTGCTGTTAAATACCTACACTTGTCATCACTCCTAATTTCTCCATGAAGCTATGGCATCTCCATTTATGTTCTGTCCTCTACAAGGGGTTGGTGAAACAAGCCCCTCACAGTCTAGGGGGAAGTGGAGGAGACAGACAAATATATAGGTGGGTTAGATGGTTCTTAGTCACACGCACAGGCTCTTTGTGGGTACCATGCTGAATCTGCAGGAATGAAAGCCCTCTCAGGGACAGAAGCACTGTCTGTGTTTCTGATTCAACTGGCCTCTCAGCTTCTCAATCACTATAAACACTTTTCAGCACACTTAAGTCACTGGCCTGTTTTCTCCTAGAACTAGAGCTCCTTGAGGGTCAGGCCAGTCCGTATGTTCTTTCTCAGCGCCCCAAGAATAGTACAGGACACAAATACGGTGCAAATGAATGAATGAAAGCTAAGTTACAAAATGGGCTCAGTCCTGTTTGTTTTGGGGACAATCAACCATTCCCAATGATGCTGTAAGAGAGCTGACTTTTTTCTTTCAGTAATTACAAAACTCCCTGGAGGAGTCACCTATTTAACGCAGGGTACAATTCACCATGCTAAAAAGGCCTCACTGTCAAGGGGTAAGCAAATTACTTTCAGACTGAAGAGAATTTTAGAAATCTGTTTAAACATTGGTCACAAAAGAGTCAACGAAAATAGGAACTGTCACCTTCAAGAGGACTTTTCCAAATCACACAAAGTCCCTAAAAACTGCTGAGGGTTACTATGAATTCCGATTCCTGGGCTGCAGGAGGTTAATTACGTGATGTTCCTTTTGACTAGGAACCAGAACATTTTATGCCCAAAGCCATTATTTCACTGACCCTGACACTGGGGATGGTAGCCCCAAGGTCTAATCATCAAAAAGAGGCATCATGGCTTTGCCAATGCCTGTTATGGACCTCTCCATCACTTTGGGGGAAAGTTTTATCTGGCTCCACCTCCCATTTAATTGCAGAATGAACTTCAATTAGGAGTTTTTGTAGAGCCTGATCAATTAAAGAAAAAAATTTCAACATTTTATTTTTGCAAGACAGAGAGAGACAAAGCCTGAGAAGAGAAGGGGCAGAGAGAGAAGGAGACATGGAATCTGAAACAGGCTCCGGGATCAGCACAGAGCCTGACACGGACGGGGCTTGAACCCACGGACCGTGAGATCATGACCTGAGCAGAAGTCAAATGCTTAACCCACTTAGCACCCAGGCACCCCTAGCCTGATGAATTTAGTAAAGGCATGGACTTATAGAGAAGCCTGTTGTACACTTCCCCTGAGCAGGTTAAATATGGACAGGCCCTGGGTGAAGAAACTAATGCTTGCTTGCTTGCTTCCTTCCTTCCTTCCTTTTTTAAAAACATATTTATTTTTGAGAGAGAGCATGCATAAGGGGGGATGGGCAGAAAGAGAGGGAGAGAGAGAATCCCAAGCAGTCTCTGTTTTGTTAAAGCAAAATAAACAATGAGATCATGACCTAAGCCGAAATCAAGAGTCGGACGCTTAACTGACTGAGCCACCCAGGTGCCCCGAAACTAATGCTTCCTGACTCTTCTATACACATAGTATACATAAGGAGGAAGTGATGATCCCTACCTCTGCATCATCCTTCATTTTAAAGAGGACTTACCCCAGCCTTTCTTTAAAAAGGAAGCTCTCCTACCCTGCTGAGGTTTGTTTATAGGATACTCTATTGTACCCAAAGGAGAGTCTGGAGACAGGAAAACTGAAACCTTGTGAACCTGGAACCGCCAATGACTGAAAGTCAACTAAGGGGTGGAGAGTGGAATTTCCCAAAGGATGGGGTCCACACAATTGATGTTTGCTTGCAAGATGACATTAGGGAGCAGGAGAATACTGAATAATGCTCAGGGCTACACAGCATTAACTGGGTAACATAACACTGACATGCATACAGAGAAATCAGCTTTCAGTTCTTATTCAGTTCTGTCTAGGTCAAAGAGAAATTCTCAGTATGGTGTTATTAAACACCTCTCTAAGCCTTCCTCTCCTGCAAGCAACAGTAACTAGCTACTTAATAACATGGTTTCTTTGTGTTGATTTTTTTCCCTCCCTCCTCTTCCTTCCTTCCTTCCTTATTTTTTCTTAAGATCTAATATTAAGCCCTTCGTGAATGGGCCAGCATTCCATCTAGCAAGTAGAGGGATGCTTTCAATTTATGAAAATTAATTTTTAAAATTAAGTTAAAAGCAGTCAATTTAAAGAAAAATGCAAAGTAGGCGATATATAGGTCTGGTGAAAATCATAATGGTGACACATGAATGGCTCGGGCGCCAACCAGGCTGAGGGGGGGGCACATTCCCACTGCCTCTCTACCAGGAAGAGAGCTTGGTTTCCTCAACTATTAAATAAGAACACTCATCCAAATCACCTCTTCTGTCTTCTCCTATTCAGACTTAAAACATTTCTCAAATTATACCAGGCAATTAAAATTTTTTTTTTCAACGTTTATTTATTTTTGGGACAGAGAGAGACAGAGCATGAACGGGGGAGGGGCAGAGAGAGAGGGAGACACAGAATCGGAAACAGGCTCCAGGCTCCGAGCCATCAGCCCAGAGCCTGACGCGGGGCTCGAACTCCCGGACCACGAGATGGTGACCTGGCTGAAGTCGGACGCTTAACCGACTGCGCCACCCAGGCGCCCCATATACCAGGCAATTAAAGAGTAGGATCTGGCTTGCCCCCTCAAGAATCTTACTCCTTGTTACATGTTCCCAGAACCTAAAACAGTACCAGGCAAATATCTGTGGCTTGACAATGCTTATTGCCCGAATTCTTGAAAAAGATTGAAAAAGAGAGAAAAAAAAATTGCACTCGTTTTATGTATCTGTTGTGTGAAAGCAAGGCACCCCAGTGTTAAGGACAATGACCTCCGTGGCCTTGTGGCACAGAGCGAAGAGAAGCTACATTAGGAAGAGAGCTGTCCGTTCTGACACCAGGGAGAGTCACACAGGCTCACATCCCAGACTGAGCCTGCCATCCGGCCTCCTCCTGTTAGCATCCAAGCTGTGCATGTAGGGCCTGTATCTCTGAACACAGGGATGAAGACTGATTGGATAGAGGAGACACCAGTGGATCCACATAAACAAACATTGCATCTCAAAGTCCCTCGTCTGGGGGCTAGGAGTAAGGCATAATGTGTCACGACTGTCTTTTCACATTCTCACTGATTTGGAAAACTGGGAATCCTGAGTTCTAACACCTTAATCTCAGGGTAGAAAGCAGAATTCCAAGAGAAAACAGAATGTGAGACACTTGCAAAGAATCTTGCCTTTCCCTAGATATTTTACTCATACACCATCAAGTCTGACAGACTCAAGTTCTGGTCTCTTCAAAATAATGATTATTGTAACAACAATAGCAACAATAATAACCAGGACCATCACAGCCAAAGATACAAGACTGACAACCTCCACTATTAAATAACTTCTGTAAACCACGCCCCACACAGGCAGTTCATATACATCCTCTCATCTCATCCCTCACAACATTATGAGGTAGAAAGCATTTCTCCCACTTTATTTCTTAATAAGTATTTTCTTATTTGTTTGTTTATTTATTTATTTATGAGAGTGAGTGGGGGAGGGCAGAGGGAGAGAGAGAATTTGAAGCAGGCTCCACACTCAGCATGGAGCCCGACACAGGACTTGATCCCACAGTCCTGGGATCATGACCTGAGCCAAACCGACTGAGCCACCCAGGAGCCCCTCTCCCACTTTAAAGATGGAGAAACTAAGGCTTAAAGAATTTTAAAGTGCCCCACAGGTCACCTGGCTGGCGAACAGAATGGTCTTTATTTCAAACCAATCCTACAGATGTCCCTGGTTCATGCTCTGTTGGTTTTCTCTCAGGGTTTTCTGGCTGCAGGATTCACTGTGCATCCACTACGCACAAGGCAGGGGGTCCAGTGTCCCCATCGGCGCTCTTTGCACTTCTCTAGAACTGTTTTAAGAGCAAGTAACATGCTAACTTTATAAGTTACCCGTTAATTTATTACCCTATTCCTGCTGGTATCTTTTAAAAAACTTCCCAGTGCTGCTTACAATTTTTTCCCTTAATTCAGCAATATGAAAATGCTTTCTCCAATGTTTTCTGTTAGGGAAACACTAAGCTCCTAAAATCTGAATATACTATCCAAGCTCTTAAAGATTGTTGCATCTACCCAACGCTGCTTTCTGAAACTAGGCCCTTGTCAAGATAAACCAATCCCTCAAAACTATCACTAATGATCAACAGTTAGAAAAAATACAAAGATGTTAAGATCCTCTTACGTGGAAGCCCCAGGACTGAGGACACAATAATTCAAGAAACGGCCAGTTCTAACTCTTATCATACATATCATCTTCATCCTGGAAGAAAATCACACTGAAATTTCCCAACAAGCAGTTAAGCTTGCTGAGGCATCACTGAAAGTGTGGCATGAACCCCAGGAATACTGCTGTGAGGTGCCCAACTCTGCCCCCCTCAGTCTGGCTTTGCAGCTCTCACAGCCCTGCTGTTGAAACCAGCGTGCGGGGCCTGGATTCTGAGATGTTCTCCTCTCTCTCCCCCTAGATATTCCCATGGTGCTCTACTCTCTCCACTTGATATTCCCACGATGCTCTCCTCACTCTGTCTCCTGATATTCCCATAATGCTCTCCTCACTGTCTTCCTTGGACAGCTCTCCATCCCTACATCCTCCTCCACCATTCCCTTCTTCAGGGAATTCCAAACTCAACATGCCTGGCCAGTACCCCCTTCCAGACTTTTCAAAAAGCCTTTTGACTACCACATGACTCAGAAGTCCCACATCTCTCCCCCTTCTCCTGATTCATTCATTTGTGCCCATCCATCTAGCTTCCCAGACTGTGATACATCTTTCACTCTTCCTATGTCCCCCTCCACTCCTGTTAATGCACAGGTGGAGAGGTGCCAGCACTGAAGCCAACTTGTGAGTCTAGACAAACTATGCCATTCAATACATGACTATTTAAATTTAAATTAATTAAATAAAATTCAGAGTTCAGTTCTACACTCACACCTGTCACATTTTAAGTGCACGGTAGCCACACAGGAAAAGGAGCTGTCCATATTGGACAGCACAGCTTTAGAGGGTCTATACCCCTGAAAGCCTCTTACAACCAATTCCTTAGGCCAATCTGGTTCCACATTTACCAGGAATGTTGGGTGGGAAGAAAAATTCCCACTGGGTGTGAGATACCAGGTGTGAGACAGATCACAGCTCCCTCAGCCACCACACTGGGTCCGGGTCATCCTTTCTTCTTGCTCCCATTCTGTCACATCCCTAACACTAGTTGCCAGGGGAATCTTCACAACTCACATCATGCATTAGGCTGCCCAGGTCTAATGTGAACTCAGACTACTTGATATGATCCCAACCCAACTTCCTGGGCCAACTCCCACATCTCTGCCTGCACCCCAAATAACCAACTCCTGTCCCCATGCCAGCCCTGCACAGCCTCATGCTTTGTCTTTCCCCAGGCTGCCCCCTTCATGTGAAACACTCCCATGTCCTGGCTGCCAGATGAACCTCTCTGCCTCTCTGCCTTTGGGGCTGATTCGAGTATCACACTCCCCAGGTGTGCATCTTGGTTCCCAAAGGCTCAGTTCTTCTAGACCTCCAAGCTTCGCACCCTGCTCCTGGCACACTCTGAGAACTGTCCATAGGGGGCTGCTGGGTATGTATCTAACCTGCAGGTGCCCAATCTCCTCCCCCCAGACCACTGAACCAGAGAAATCACCACTGCAGGTTGGCCTGGAGAGGGGTTTTTTGGGGGCTTATAGAGGAGCCTCAGGCTCTTTAAGAGCTGCCTTCTTTCTTTTCTTTCTTTCTTTCTCTCTCTCTCTCTCTCTCTCTCTCTCTCTCTCTCTCTCTCTCTTTAAAGCAACAGTGTTAAAAAGCCATACTCACTCTTCAAAGAACACAGCCTTCTTTCCCAACTGCTCCTGGCTCTGGCAGAAGCTGAAAATGAGATTCTGGAATCACAAGAAAGAAAATGACAAAGCATTAAATGGTAATGAGAAGGTGAATGAATTGCTAACAGCCACAAAATTGCTGGCTTCACCAGAGACGGAGGCAGAGGTGGTGTGATGGCTGGCATGGCCTTCTCTCCTCCTGGGCACGGGCACAGGTGTGGCTTCATAGCCCACCTTGTGTTTGGCTCACCTACCCCAATTAAGAAACCAGCACAAAGGGCAGGGCACAGCAGATAATGAGCCAGGCCTAGGAACGCATGAAGGAGGTCAAAGAAGAAATGTGCAGTGACAGGACAGAGCTGGGAGTGAGTTGGTGACTCCTGGACTGCAGTGGGGAGAAAGGCAAGAAGCAGGGTGTGTGTGGGTGTGGGTGGGGGTGGGGGTGGAGGGGTGGGGAGGGACAGGCACACTCAGGTGAAAGGGGGCTCTGAGACCTACAAACGTAACTAAGACCCCCAAAGACTAAAACTTGCCTTCTCCATTCGTCATTAGGGTTTCCCTAAAAGTTGTACTTAGGAAGGAAGGAGAAGGGGCGCCTGGCTGGCTCCATTGGTAGAGCATGTAACTCTTGATCTCGGGGTTCAAAGTTCGAGCCCCACACTGGGTATAGAATTTATTTAAACATTTTTTAATTAAAAAAAAGAGGGGTGTCTGACTAGCTCAGTTGGTAGAGCATGTGACTCTTGATCTCAGGGTTCTAAGCTCGAGCCCCACACTGGGTGTAGAATTTATTTAAACATTTTTTAATTAAAAAAAAGAGGGGTGTCTGACTGGCTCAGTTGGTAGAGCATGCAACTCTTAATCTCAGGGTTCTGAGTTCAAGCCCCAAGTTGGGCATAGAGCTTACTTAAAAATAACATAACACAACATAACAACATAACACAGAATAAAGAAAGGAATGAGAAGGTGGCAGCCAGGGAACAAATGAGGATACTGTTTCTACGAGAGTGGCTGCTAGAGGGACCCCACAGCTCAAAACCAGGGCTGGAAAGGGAGACACAGTGCCAAGGCACCATGGCAGAAGAACCCCTGAATCATTTCAGAGGAGTCAAAGAGTTAAACCTAAAAAAGTAAAATAAAACCATGGAAGTTCTGTAAGACAACATAAGAACTCTGTTTGAAAATATCTGAGCAGGGAAAGTCTAAGTAAGATAGAAGGTCCAGAGGCCATAACGAAAAGATTAACATGTTCACTGCATAAACATGTTTTCAATGTCCACATGGAAAGATACACCATGACCAAGATCAAGATTTGTCAATACATACTCAGACACAACAGACTAATTTCCTGAATGCACAAAAGGTTCCTAAAAATCAAAACAACAACAAAATCCAATAGGAAAATGGGCAAATGATCTGAGTAGATAATTTATCAGAAAGTAAACACAAATGACTTTCGAACATATAAAAAGACCCTCAAGCTCATTTATAATAAGAGAAATGCAGATTAAATTGACAAGCTAATGGCAGTCTTAATTTTTTAAAGTGGTATCCTTTTTTTTTTTTTTTAAGTTTACTTATTGATTTTGAGAGAGAGCACACAAGGGAGGGCAGAGAGAGAGGGAGAGAGAATCCCAAGCAGGTTCCACACTGTCAGCACAGAGCCCGATGCTGGGCTCAAACTCACAAACTGTGAGATCATGACCCAAGCCAAAGTCAGCCACTTAATCAGCTGAGCCACCCAGGCAACAATAGCAATCTTTACCGTACCAGCAAAAAACAAAAAGTTTAGAAACAGTCTATGTTGCAGAGACTGTGGGCAAATAGATGCTCTATACAATGTACCAATTTATATTCCCATGAACAAACTCTATGCATGGCAATTTGTTAAAATCTGTGACATTGTAAAATGCACATACCTTCAACCTAAGAATCTCTTCTAAGAGTTTATGTTTGTACCTAGTGTATGAAATCATGTTTGTGGAAGGTTACGTGTCACGGTAGAATCTATCATGGCAAAGGTGTGAAATTAACTCATATGCCCACTTATAGGGCATCTGTTAAGTAAACAATGGTATAGGTTTATAAGGAAGTATTACGTATAGCCATTAAATACAAATAAAATTAAACATAAGCCATTAAAATAATGAGGCAGTTCTATTTGTCTTTATGAGTAATGACCTCCAAGGTTCATTCTTTTTTAAGATTTTAAAAAATTTGTGTATTTATTTTGAGAGACAGAAAGGGAGAGAGAGCATGAGCAGGGGAAGGGCAGAGGGGGAGGGAGTGAGAGAATCCCAAGCAGACTCCACAGTCAGCAAAGAGCCCGATGCAGGGCTTGATCTCACGAACCATGACCTGAGCTGAAACCAAAAGTCAGACACTTAATCCACTGAGTAACCCAGGTGTCCCCCAAGATTCACTGTTAACTCAAAAAAAAAAAAAAAAAGCAACACCAAAAAACAAGAAACAGCAGAGAATGGATAGAATAATACCTTTTGCATTAAAGGAGACAAAGACAGAAAGAGAGGAGAGGGAGGGAGAAGGATACACAGGAAACTGGTTACCATGGCTGCATCTTGTATCTTTTGACCTTTTTTTAGAGACAGAGAAGGAGCAGAGGAAGAGAGGAAGAGGGAGGGAGGG